GACGAGTTAAAATCCGCTCAAAGAGTAAAGGGATGCACTCAAGGTGGTCAAAGGTCACTCGGTCTGAAGGGCTAAATATTATAAAATTTATCTATCTTGTATCTTAAGGTGTATGATAAAAAATAATTATTAGTTAATAATTATTTTTAAAATGTGAAATTTTAAATTAAAAAAATAAATTCTAATTTTAATTTTAAAACAAATGAATAAAAAACTAAAATATGAAATATGTAATTAAAATAAAAATCAATTTTATTATTTTTAAAATAAAAAATAATTATTATTTCTTATTATGTATTTTAAAGATACAAATAGATAAATCTAATCTTATAATATATCATTATGTAATTAAATATTTTCTCATTACGTGATAACCTTAACTATAAAATTGCAAGCCGTGAACGTGGAATGATTATCTTTAATTATCATTTTAATGTAAATCAGATTACAAAACTACTTTCCCAGTCTAACAAGAAAAGAAACGGTTTGCTAACGGAGTCGGACTAAATAAATAAAAATAAAATAAAACTTAGAGATAACAATGACAACCACCCCGGCACGAGCAGGCCTAGCGCCCCCATTCATAGATGGCTAAAATCAATTATTACCCCCTCACCTTACAAAATTGGTAGGTTTTAGCTCTTAACCTTATAATATAACACTTTTAGTCTTTTACCTTACAAAATTAATAAGTTTTAACGCATTACTTTGTACTATGACATTTTTAGTCCCTTATCTGTATGAATTGAAGAAAATAACCCTCACTTAACATTATTTTATAATATTTTATTAGTTCTATTAATTGATTGTAAATTCTGCTAACTGATTGTAAGTTTTGTTAATTGACTTTTAGTTTTATTAATTGATTGTTAGTATCTGTTAATTATCTATTAATTGAACTAACAAATAAAATTGAATTTAAATTTAATGTTTTCTATAATAGAATGTTAACGAATATTAACAGTCAGTTAATAAAACTAATAAAATGTTATAAGTTGATATTAGGTGAGGTTTATTTTCTTTAATTTGTATAGGTGGGGGGTTTAAAAATGTTATAATATAAGGTGAGATGTTAAAACCTACCAATTTTGTAAGGTAAAGGGCTAAAAGTATTATGTTATAAGTTGAAGGGTTAAAACCTATCAAATTTTGTAAGGTAAGTAGCTAAATGTTAGTTTTTGCCTTTATAGATCTGGAAGCCCGTCACCTCCCGGTTCCATCTTAGACCGTCCGGTGGAGTGAAACAAACCAAACTTTCTCTTCTCCTCCGCTGCCTCTGCCACTTCCACTTTCCTCCTCAGTATCGTCTCTTTCCTTCTCATCTCTCTACTTTTTGACTTTCCCGGGAAAGCTCGGGAAAATTCAGATGGTGAGAATTACGAGAATGCCACTGGCCGTCAGCTCCGTCGCACCTCTGGATTTCGGACTCCTGCTCTCGGGCTGGTGGGATGAGATTAACGAGTCTACTCAGTGGCAGGACGGCATCTTCTACGCTCTCTGTGCCGCTTATGCCCTAGTCTCCTCCGTTGCTCTGGTCAGTTCCGCTTCCTCCTGAATTTGATCTCCTTGGTTTTCCTTTGAGGTGGTGTTTCTCGATCAGTGTAGAGTACTTGATTGGTTTGTGGAATTTAGTTTCGGTTTCGGTTTTGTTTTGTTTTTTTTTTTTTTTGTTTGGATTAGCTTTGGATATGGATGGATTTGGGTTGTGATGATAGTGACAGTGAAGTTTTGGGGTGGGATACAGATGGAACTTTCTTCACTCGATTGCGAGTTTTCGAATTACTGGTTATTTTCCTGGAATTTAATAATTTTTTTTTCATCTCATTCAAGTGATCGGAGGTGTGTGTTCTTGGTTTTTAATTGCAAGTAGTGTTTTGCTTAATTAGTTAAGAGTATCTCATTCTTGATGTTATTTTGAAATATTTATGTGCAGTATTGCTTTGATTTACTTGATTGTTCATTGTTGAGTTGGTGATCAATCTAGTAATAGCTAGGTTTCAGCATGAGTTTTCGGCTCGTTTTGTTGTTTGTAAATTGCTTTTCTGTTTGGATGGGCATCCTTATATCTGGGTTTCTGTTTCTATGGCTTGAGTGACAAATTAACAAAACTTCTGAGGTTTTTAGTGGTGTTTGTAATGTGCAGATACAATTAATAAGGATAGAGTTGAGAGTGCCCGAATATGGTTGGACAACACAGAAGGTTTTTCATCTTATGAACTTCATTGTTAATGGAGGTGAGATTCAAATTGGATACATGTAGATTTTTTTTTTGAACTTGGATACGATGATACCTGTCTGAAGGTCTTGTTTTAATCTTCCAATTGTGAATTTTCATGTTGCAGTGCGTGCAATGGTGTTCGGATTTCACAGACAAGTATTTCAATTGCATCCTAAGGTTTGTTTCTGATGGAAGTAAGAGAGGATGGTTCCAATAATAAACTATAGTACTTATTATCCTGTATAAAACTTGCTGTAGCTCTTAGGTTAATGAGATTATATAGGATTGTAATTACCCCTTCTAGTCCACTCGCTAGGTCTCTTTTATTCCTTAAATTTTGGTTGGGATACTTGGGAAAAATTAAGGTTCCAATTAGGTTCATGGATTGTAAAAGGAAATGAGAAGGGAATGCTCTGCAAATATGCATAATATCCGGCAGCAGTATGTCACTAACACCTTGTTGGAGCATGGAGGATTTAAAGAAATTTATTCTCCTGGAAACCATGAATTTATACTGACATTGGTCTGTTGCATCTTGAATTAGGTACTGATGTATGTATTATTGGATCTTCCTGGTCTTTTATTTTTCACGACGTACACACTACTTGTCCTGTTCTGGGCTGAGATTTATCATCAGGCAAGAGGCTCTTCTTGATTGTTGTCCGGAAAAGCTGCTCCACTCTCAATAAATTCAATTGACAAACCTGTGCATGCATTTTCTTTATACTCTAGCCGGGAACTTATGAAATTGTACCTTTTCCTTTGTTGGGCAGGCAAGGAGCTTACCGGCAGACAAGCTCAGAACTTTTTATATGGCAATCAATGGTGCGATTTACTTCATACAGGTGTGCTTTAACTCGTGTTTTATTACACTCATTGCTTGCATGTTAGATTTTTTTTAATACCTAGTAGTTCTTGGGAGGAGTTTATCTCATGTTCATAGTGTAACTTACTCTGTCTTCAAGGAATATGTTTGAGCATGCTATCCTTCTTGGCTTCATCATTAGACTTTGCATTTTGTTAGTAGTTATGGATTCTTGGAATTTTTGCTATGTACTGGAGGCTGGAGTAATATACATTCAGTTGTAGTCTAAAATTTTTAATTTACTGTCCGCTTACTATAGAAACATTTTGATATGTTAACTGAAAAGTGAAAATTTACCAAATTGAGGTGGTGATATCAGGTTTGCATCTGGATATACCTCTGGATAAATGACAACAGCGTTGTGGTAGTCATTGGACAAGTATTTATTGCAGGTAAGACCGGATATTGAATCCTAGTTGAGTTTTTGTGAAGTCCACATCTGTAGATTTAACTTTATTTTCATATTTTTTATTGGAATGTGAGCCACAGATATTATTGCTTTCACTCTTTTATTTGACCATGACACTTATTTCCTTTGTTTTTCCCCAGTGGTTTCATTTGTTGCTGCACTTGGGTTCTTGTTCTATGGAGGAAGGTAATTCATTTTGTGCCATTCAATGGCTGAATGATAAGAATTTCCAAAATTTTCAATCCTGTTTGCTAACCCTTCTCCTTTCTGTGGTACCTCATTTACAATGCTTGCAGATTATTTTTCATGCTAAGACGCTTCCCCATAGAATCAAAAGGGAGAAGGAAGAAGCTTCATGAGGTTTCTCTTTTCCTTTGTAATTTGGCTATTTGATTAAAAAAAAAAAAAACATTTCTACATTGATTACATAATTTACATTGAATCACATTAAGAAATTTCATATTAATTTTTGATGTTATTTGACAAGCTTTTAACTTGGCCTTATTCCTGGAAAATGGAGTTAGCAAATATAACATTGTTAGCAGATGCGTTGAATTCATAGTCTGAATTTTCACTCAATGATATTTAATTTCCCTTCAGTTGTCTCCAACCTGCAAATTCACAATCAAAATTGTTGTTAGCATTCAAGGATATGGTTTAAGTTCCATAATGACTACTGGCTCGTATTATATTGTGGCTGATTTACATCACGCATGCACACTCATATGCAAACATGTGATCCTTACATCCCACTCGTGGGATGACAACTGTGGTAGCAAACAATATATTTTCATTTTACATGTTTATTGTGAAATGAATTCAATGGTGGATCTCAAATTTTCCTTAAGAAAAACAAAATTATATGTCGATTACTTGCTGATTTGTCTGTATATAAGAATTCTGGAGTACTGTCCTTTTCAAAAGGGGGTAACCACAAAGATAAAACTGTCCTAGCATATCTGAACCTATAAAAATTGGATTTCGTAGGTAACTTGCAAGTAAATAATTCAATTGAATTGCTTTTAGTGTGGGAAATATCTGAGCTGCGTCTTGCAGAGTGAAAGCAATTCTTGTTAGAGTTATATGTGATTTCTGCAAATTGTGTCAGATTGGTTTCTTGTTGTTTTATTTGACCAACTTCTATTATGTGTTTTTAGGGTTTATACTTCGTAAATATTATTTGACTTGATATATGGTTTCTTGCAGGTTGGATCTGTTACAGCAATTTGTTTCAGCTGCTTCCTTATAAGATGCTTTGTTGTACGTTACGAGCATACTTTCTAATCCTTGATTTAAAAAAGTATGAAATTGAGAAAAAATTGCTATTATTTTGCTGATTCTTGGAGGATAGAAGCATGAAGCACAGTTATACAATGTTGCTGCTTTCTTGATTTGTTCTCCTTTATGCTGCTACCTGCTTTATGTGCCCTCTGATGTGTTGCTCCTCAATTCTCAACATGCAGGTTGTTTTATCAGCTTTTGATAAAGATGCATCACTTGATGTTTTGGATCATCCAGTTTTGAACTTGATCTACTACATGGTATTCTACAAAGCCCGTTTCACTTTAAGCCACATACATTTACTTACATATTGTTTTCTAAGAATAAATTAATTCTATTGGTCAAATGACAGCTAGTTGAGATCCTCCCTTCGGCTCTAGTCCTGTACATTCTGCGTAAGTTGCCCCCGAAGAGAATATCTGCCCAATATCACCCAATTCGTTAGCCATGATGCTTCTTTGTTCATGGGGCCATTTTTCCTCCTTAGAGAATGCCTGTTCACGTTTCAAGCGTTAGATGCCATTGTAGTTGAGCAAGAGAACGAGAGCCAGAAAGATTCCAGACATTGTTCTGGATGGCTCATTGTGCAGGCAAATTTTTTTTGCACGTACATGTAGATTACTTAGCCTTTTGTAGTGTGGTAAATGGGAGATTATTTAATTGATTTCTCCATCAGCTGACATTGAAGATTTAGTTGTTGGATACTTTGTGCAATTATTTGGTTGACAATTGGTGTAGGAAAATTTTTTCTGTAACTTCATATGATCCAAATATTTTTCCAAGGCAAAGCAAAATTCTGCGCCGGCCTTCATAATTCATTTATTGCCAGCCGAGGTTATTGCCACGTACTTTTTCCCTTTTCGTTGAATTACACAATTTTTATTAATATTTTTCCATTTTATCATTCTTTTAAACAGTTTAATTTTAATGGATTAAATGATAAATATTGATTTTTTTAATCAACCATCAATTGAAATTGTGTTACCATAACAAAAATGGTTATGTGTGGTGTAATAATCACGGCCATGATTGCCAAAGGTTTCTTCTTTTTTAATTTTCCATTCTATATTTCCATTCTATATTCTCATCAGAAGTACTGAGTTTGGCTACATTTATTTAAATTACAAAATCCCCATCTCCGAATGGCTGTAACACCAACATCACATGTACAGCTCACCTCAAATCAGCATGTTTAGGAGCCAATCAAACTTCCACGGCCAGGTAGACACCAAACGTTAATGTCCATTGATTCATCTTTCCTAAGAGCCGATTAATCTTGATGGACTTCCTCCGCAGGCGGTGGGGCAAATCTCGCGTTTGCAGGTCGGACAACTACTACAGCCTCATCTGCAAATAGGGCTTTAATGAAGGATGGAGTTTTCAGGGGTCGGCGACCAGTCATTCGTGGGTATACATCTGCAAGAAAATAGTAGGCATGACCAGCTACCATTCCCTGCATCACAAAATATTTTGTTTCAAGAAAAAATGACAACGACCAAAATGCAGCGACATGGAGTAAGGATCTAGGCATAAGCATGGCAAAAATGGAGCAGGCAGTTTATAAGCCATCATTCATTCATTCATCATTTATTCCTTCATTCAGAAGAATCCCATGGAGGAGTTTTGGGAACCAAGAGCATAATGACTTCATAAATTGTTAACCAAGGTAGAAACCATGGTTCAAGCTTAATTTCATTTCCATCCACCTTGGTAAACAGATGAACACCAGTTGATTTCTAAAATGTGGGGAATTTTCACAGAAACAGAGAAAAGTATTTCAAAACATATTAATAAAGAGTCGAACTTTAGCATTTTTTTTGGATAACATGGTAATCCAAATCCTTGGCCAGGCTAATCCTATTGGTACTTACAAACTGCCCTGTCCTTCAAGGATCACAGGCATGGTTCATTAGAATTGTTTACACCCAAATGGTGTGAGAGACTCGAACCTGCATTCTTGTCACGGACTCAAACTATTGCAATTTTAAAATACAAGGAGTCAGAAATTTTAATTTTCTTATTCTAAGTAGTTGAACTTATCAAATTGACCATACAAGTAGCAATTGGAAAATGGACATGGTTAGTGGATCCATACTTTTGTTGATGCGCAAAAAAATGTGAACCTGAGCAGACATGGACTTAAATGTGCTGACTGGGCATTCCTAAAGCAAAAAATAATAGAAGACAGCATGTCCAATTATATCTTCAATTTACCACAGCAAGTTTCTTCAATTTATCACAACAAAATTCCAACTTCCTGCTCCTCTCTCTTCAATTTCCAGTGCAAATTCATTCTTTAAGGTAACCACAACAGCCAAGTTTTAACTGCAAATTTCCACTTCAATTTTCCATCTTTTGTCTAATTTACTTTGGAAACCAAGCAAGCAGAAATAATAAAAACCACATTTAGCAAATAAATTTGAATTTAAAGATTATTAGCATCTAATTTGACTACTCTCATAAGGACTTGGTTTCTGGTTCTTCAATTTGAATTTGATAAAAGCCTAGAAATCAGAATAGGTTGATCATCAAGAAAGAGAAAGGAAAAGTATATCATAACATACACAGTATCTCCTAATTTGATTATAATCAAGCTATTCTTGATAGTTATTTCTACAAATCAGGAGACAACATTTATGTTAAGATATGCTTTTACTTTTGTTTCTTAATGGGTCAACCTAGATCAAATTTTTAATCTGTCCTCAAATTTGAAGAACCCTTGCTCCCAATTCATCGCCTATCAACAACACTCCTATGCTTCAAATCTAGATATTGGGTGAATGTGGTTTTTAATATTGCAAAAGAAAGTAAAATTGAAGTGGATATTGTTGTCAATGTTCTAAGTTTTTTTTTATCATAAGAATGACATTTGCAATAAAAATTGTAGGAATTTTGTTATTATAAAATTAAAAAAGAAATGTGCTGTGGTAAGAAGAATTTGGTTTTTCATTTAAGAATGCCCAAGTCAGCTTAGATTAGAATTGTAGGAATTCTTTTTTTACACATCAGCAAGGGACGACATCCACTAGACAGAGCCTGTTTACATATCAACAGTTCAGTTCCAATAACTAACTCTAGTAATTTGACTGAATTCAACTAAAAAATTAAAATTCAACTCCTTGTATAGTAAAGATCAGAAAAAGTTTTAACTACTTATGTTTTGCCTAAAAAGTACTATAGCAATATTTTTAAGTTTCAACACAAATTCAAAAGTGACTAAAGGAGCACAAAACGCACCAGGAGATCCACCCATGCACTAGCACCAACAAGGACCGAAAATCCTAAAAGTACCTGCAAGAAAAGCAAAGAAAACAAGCTATTAGACTGATACTGGCAAGACAGATTGGCAATGAGAAGCCACATAGCAAATTAGGCTTAAAAGAAAATACTTGTTATCTAACAGCAACTGCTATATGTTATTTAGCAGACAAATGGTGAAACAGCAATTAACTGTTAATTTGATGAAAGTAAATTAGTAAACTTCCAGAAGGACACTATGAGGATTGAACAGATTACTCACCCATGGCAGGTAAGCTGCTGTAAAAGTAAAAAGACCAAGAAAGCTCATATGGATGTAAGGATTTTGCTTGCTCCACACATAAACCTGAATGATGTAGAAAATAAGAAGGGTTCTGACAGAGTTACAGGACAATGACAACCGGCATTATAAGTTAAACATGTTGGCATGTAAACTAAGCTAAAGTAACTAACCATCATGAATGTCAGTGAATTGCTCAGGAACATGAATTCTGCAAAATACTTGGACAAATATGGTATCATTCCTCCAATAAGAACAATGCCTGTTAAAATAGTGGCTCCAAACAAGAGCATGTAGAAGAAATCAGCAGTCTTTCCCCTGAATGAGTTCTCTTCAAGAAGCTTGCAGTAGCGAGCAAGAAAGAACATATGAAACATGAAGTCCAAATCTGACATTATAAAGTAATAATTTTGTTAGAAAATAAATATAACACTGATTTCTATGAAATAGCTTTAACTGTTTTTCAACTTATCAATAAAATTAAACCCCATTCAAGGATTAAATGAAACCCAAATTACCTTGATAAGTCTCACAATGATAATTGTTTATACTTTTCATGTTGTTCACACAAACAGGTAACACCTAATCACATTGATAAGTCTCACAATGATAATTGCTTACACTTTTCATGCTGTTCACACAAACAGGTAACACCTAATCACGTTGATAAGTCTCACAATGATAATTGCTTATACTTTTCATGTTGTTCACACCAGGTAACAACTAATCCCGGGAGCTAGCTGAACCTCAAATACAAGGAAGATTATCTCTTTTCAATTTTA